CTGTGTACTCTCTCTCTAAGTTCGGGACCCGTCAGCTGCCGGGTCACGAGGAGAGGTGTGGGGCGGCGAAAGCTGGATTTCTGTGAGTCGATGACAGAAGGATAGCGCCCCCCGGGGAGGCTGGATCGTAGGCAGTAAGACACAGAACTCAGCTCAGTCAGTGGTACAGCCCCTTTATTCAGTGACTCAGCTCGGCTCCACGTCTTAGTGATTCAGCTCTGATTAATTAGGGGAAACCAGGACATTTATACTGTGGGGGCAGTGGCAAAAGCCTTGGTGGATAAGTGCTTTCAGGATGCCCCATTTACATGTGGTGGTGGGCTCCTGCCAGGCTGTCAGACAGTGCCTGAAAATCACACAGGAAAACCTGACAGTTTCAGAGCCGGAGGCCATGTTTCTGTGACAGCAACTTCAAAAGATGAGACAGGAAGATGCTGGGAAGGCACCCTGCTGATAAAAGGAGTCTCTGCATATGAAGCTGAGCCCATAGGCTATCCGGACATGGAGAGACTGCTACTTTACACAACACGGGTCCCCAAGAATAGCCTTATAAGCTAGGTATCTAAATATATTTGTTACAGCAGTTTATAATAGTAAAAATTTTAAGTATTCCAAAAACCCAAGTATGAATAGAAAATTGTGAACAAATTGCAGTACACTCATCTTGTTTAAGGTTTCCCAGTTATGAAATTCAAAAGTAAGGTTTTCAATATTGACATTCTCATTAGGCAAAGTTACTCATAGATTCTCAGTCTCTATCATTCTGTCCCTTTGTATGTTTTCCTGCCTCTCTGTGTTTCTCTTCTCTTGTCTCACTCTCTTTCTGTCTCTCTCTGTCTCCCTGGCTCTGTCTTTCGCTCTGTCTCGCTCTCACACACAGACAGTTCCATTCCCTCTATGTTTTGATTTTCATTTTCCTTTTACAGGTTGAGAGAAATTCCATATTTCCTTCTTTGTAAACTCTTCTTGTCTTGGACCTCCTGTTCTTATGGGTTACTTGATTACATTTTACATATGTTCCTCTTCGTATTGGGCTTTTAGGTCAAACTCATCCCCCTTTCTTATCTCTCTTCTTTCCTGTTTTATGTACTGTTCCTACCTCACTTTTTTCTAAATGAAATCTGTATTAATTGTCCTTTCCTCTCATAAATTGTTGTAAACAACAATTTAAACCTCATGGGTGTATCAGAATTCCTTTGCTTCCTAAAATGGTTGGCTTAGAAAGATTGGTTTTATCATGATTGTTATTATGGAATATGTTTCTAGTCATTGGTTGTTATTGTTTCTGAAGGCCGTATGCTATTATCAGGGTAGTGCTGTGTATGATGCACCTTGTACAAGTCTGCAAAGGAAACCAGCTCTGATGTACCAAACTTACTCCCTCTTGAATATTTCAAACACGTCCACTGAAATCACTCTGGTGATCAAGCATTTTCTACCAATGACCGATCTACAGGTGAACCATCGGAAGTCATCACGGAAAAATAGAAATGAAAAAACATAGCAACATGACCATTGTAAAACACATAATCGCTTGGTGCTGGAGATAAGGTGCAGCAGTTAAGAACACTTACTGTTCTTGCAGCAGGCCCTGGTTCGAATCCCAGCAGCCACATAGCAGCTAACAACTGTCCATAACCCCAGTTCCAGGGGATCAGATGGCCTCTTCTGTCCTCTGCGGGCATTGCACAACATGGGAGCACTTACCTACGTGCAGGCAATACACTCATACACATAAAATAAATATAAGAACACTGACTGTTCTTGCAAAAGACCTGGGTTCGAATCCCAGCAGCCACATAGCAGCTAACAACTGTCCATAACTCCAGTTCCAGGGGATCCGATGGCCTCTTCTGTCCTCTGCGGGCATTGCACAACATGGGAACACTTACCTACGTGCAGGCAATACACTCATACACATAAAATAAAAATAAAATTTTTTAAAAAAGAAAGAAAAGTGAAATGTGCAGGTAAATGGATGGAAGTAGAAACTGCTACACTAAGTGACGTAACAGACTCAGAGGAACAAGGGACGTGTGTGCAGCTCTCACTGTGGCTCTTAGCTCCAAATCCCTAAACGTAAGCATGTATCCTGATGTAACTGCAGGAGCCAGGGAAATGGAAAAGAACCATGGGGATAAGCAGGAAGAAGGAGCTGGAGAGAGGGGAAGAGTAGGGAACAGGTGTTATTAAGGGGAAGTGGGGAAAATGGGGGGGTACTTTAACTGGGGCGGGGGTAGGGATGAGAGTGGGAGGAGAGATAAATGATGCTTTTCATCTGGCATGATAAACCAGAGGGAAATGTATTATTAGTTCAAAGTCCTACTGAGAAATACACATACAATAAATATATTAGTGTATATATATAGCTGAAGGCTGTATAACAAAAATCACAGGGCCAGGTAAGAAACTTCCCTTCATGTTGCTGGTCAGGGTAGTCCAAGAGACTCCCAAATTAACATAGGCTATTGCCACAGCCCTTGATTGATAGGTTGAGAATGGGCGGGAGCGAGCGGCGCGGATGGAGGAAGGCACCGAGGCTCAGATGGAATTCTCAGCAGGACACAGATTTATTTCGCACGGGGCATCTTTCCCTCGGGGAAGGGAAAGATGTCAGGGAAAGATGTCAGGGAAGGGAAAGGAAGGGAAGGGAAAGCAGGGAAGGCATGGGTTGTGAGATGGGACTTTATATATGGGGGCTTTAGGGTGTGGAAGGGGGAATGTTTGGGGGAGAAATCAGGGAGGGGGAAGCAGGTAGGATTAGG